CCTTTCCTCTGGCTCAGGTATCAGTTTAAAGGTCATCTTCGGCAGCCTTCAGAAAGGAGTACTGGAGTGACTGAGGGACAGGGGTGGGAAGAAGAATTTTCATCAAATACCCTTTGGTATGCTATGAGATTCGAACTATGAGAATGAATTACCTTTCAAAACATAAATAAAGGTATGCCACTTCTTCCCAGAAATCTGAGCCAGCCTGCTCCACTCCAACTCGGGTGAGATGTTCCTGCTGTGTTCATGCTGCCCTGCACTGCTTCTATAATAACCATCACACTTCAGCATACTCGCTTACTGAGTTACAGATAAGATTACAAGCCTTTTGAGGACAAGAGACATCATCTATCTAGCTCACCATTATAGCCTGAGAAACAAATGAATAAATAATACTTTGATACACAGTGAAAGGTTATCTGGTCCAGCAGTTCTCAATGAATAGCATGGTATACATTATGAACATGTTCACACTCACCACACCCTCAGTGGGGACACTCAGATGCATATGAACCAAAAAATAATAAGCACAGGTTTATCTTTTGGATTTCCTGCTTTTATAATATATAGTAATTTAGAAACATGTATAAAATCAGTCATGTAAGTAGTTTAAAAATACCTTATTTACAAAAATAAACAGTATATTACTTAAACGTTACTCTTAAATTATCCTTCATTTTATTTCAGACATTTGCTTGACAAATAATTTTAATAGGGTGAAAAATTAAAAACTATTAAAGAATCTAAGTAATATTTGCAACCACGCCTGGAAATGCTAACAAAATCTGATTATTCTGGTGCTAAAAACAGTTAATAGTAAGGAAGGATTAAATTAGTCCTAAAGGCCTTGCTAGTGTTTCTAAAAATCAGCAGACATCAATTATTGGCTACAAAAATGGGCCATACTCGAAGATAGCACATTAAGGATCCAAGGAATTCCAGGAGTGAACAACTTCAGAAATATCTGGATTCAGAGTCTTCCCTACACAGATCATTTTGGTCCTGAATAATTCATAAACTAGGGAATGGCAGTCCCTAACTCTGTCAATGAGGGGGCAGCTACTACCTCAAAGCCTACTCAATCTCAAGGTCACACATCAAATAGCATCACTGAAGAGCAGGGCAGTCTCAAAGAGAAAATGACAAAGAGGCCAAAAGTATATGCACCACCACAAATGAAGCCTCTGTAAATATTACCCACCACAGACCTACAATGTGCAGTTTATTCACTTTACAGCTCCTTATACTTTGAGATTCCTCTATACCTTTCTCTATAAAGCAGGGTGAATTAAGAAAAGAAAAAGACATCAGAAAGAATACACACAGGAAAACAGCAAAGGATCTTTGAGAAAAAGCAGTAATTAACAAAACGAACTATAAAGCCATAATAACTTAAACTGTGAGGCACTGGCACAAGTATGACAAGCCTAGAGGTTAAAAAAAATAGACAAAAACGCTAGGAAATTATTCCCATCACTATTTCTAGAGAAGTTCATCTTTTCTCTACTGCTCTGAAGTGCCAGCTCTGCATAAATCATGCACGTGTGCACTCACACACACCTCTTATTCTTCTTAAGTACTTTAGCTATTCTTAGTTTTTCTCTCTTCCATACAAATTTTAGAATCAGCTTATCAAAATCCCCAATCTCCCGAAACAAAGCTATTAGGACTTTAATTGGAATTGCCTTGAATCTGTAAATCAATTTGGGAAGAACTGACATTTTTATGATAGTTTTCTACTCTTTACACATGATATATATGTCTAGTTAAGTCTTCTTTAATATCTTTCAGTATAAAAAACATATCCTGGCCAGGCGCGGTGGCTCACAACTGTAATCTTAGCACTATGGGAGGCCGAGGCAGGAGGATCACCTGAGGGCAGGAGGAGTTGGAGACCAGCCTGATCAAGAGTGAGACCCCCGTCTCCACTAAAAAATAGAAAAAATTAGCTGGCCAACTAAAAATAGAAACAAAAAACTAGCCGGGTGTGGTGGCAAGCACCTGTAGTTCCAGCTATCTGGGAGGATGAGGCAGGAAGATCACTAGAGCCCAGGAGTTTGAGGTTGCTGTGAGCTAGGCTGATGCCACAGCACTCTACCTGAGGTGACAGAGCAAGACTCTGTTTCAAAAAAAAAAAAAAAAAGGCAAATAAAATCATAAGGGCCACTATCCAAAGTTCATTCAACTGGTTATCCAAAGGAAAAATGACTACAATTGGTCCCACTGAAAAATGTGTGTGTGCCTGTGTGTGTTTTAATTCACCCTCAAAAGACAGGGAAATCGCCCCTCTACCTCTGGGGTCAGGGGAGAGAAGTACAGACTTATTTGTCATCATTACACCAATCTCTTCTTGAAATTGGAAAAGAATGAAGTGTTTACCCTTATTTAGTAATATAATATAGTAAGAAATATATTTTACATGACCTAACTGATGAAGGAAAGTTCTTCTTTACAGAAGAATTCCAGTTACTAAGTGTGGAAGAAATAACCAAATTAGAAATATCACCATTTTGTAACCTCTTATGAAATAAGGGACTCAGACAAAAATCAATGAACACTAAAACACACTCAAATCTCTGATCAATCTTAGCATAATAACTGGTATAAAACCACACTTTTTCAATATCCTGATGTAAATACATATCTCAGTAACATGTATTAGTTTTCTATTGCTGCTATAAAAGTTACCACAAATTTAGTAGTGTAAAACAACACAAAAATTAATAAATGAGATTTGATTAAACTAAAAAGCTTTTGCACAGCTAAGGAAACAATCAACAGAGCAAATAGACAACCTACAGAACAGGAAAAAATATTTGAAAGCTACACATCTGATAAAGGGCTAATAACCAGAATTTATAAGAACTCAAGCAAACCAGCAAGAAAAAAACAAACAACCCTATTAAAAAGTGGGCAAAAGACACAAACAGAAGTTTATCAAAAGAAGAAAGACAAATGGCCAATAAAATGAAAAAATCCTCAATGTCACAAATCATCAAGGAAATGTAAATTAAAACCACGAGATATCAGAATGGCAATTATTAAAAAGTCAAAAAATAATAGATGTTGGCATGGACACAGAGAGAAAGGAACACTTATACACTGTTGGTGGGACTGCAAATTAGTACAACCTCTATGGAAACAGTACAGAGATTCCTCAGAGAAATAAAGGTAGACTTACCATTTGATCCAACAATCCCACTACCGCGTCTCTACCCAACAGAAAAGAAGTGATTTTGTCAAAAAGACAGGCACACTCAAATGTTTATTGCAGCACAGTTTACAACTGCAAAGATATAGAATCTACATAAGTGCCCATCAATTCATGAGTATATTAAGAAACTGTGGTGTGTATATATATATATATGCCGTGGAGTACTATTCAATCATGAAAAGGAATAAAATGTCTTTTGCAGCAACTTGGATAGAACTGAAGACCATTATCCTAACTACAGTAGGATTCTCAGAAATGGAAAAACAAACACCACATATACTCACTAATAATTGGGAGCTGAACCATGGGTACACACAGGCACAAAGAGATGTAAAGGTCATTGGAAACCAAGAAGTGAGGAGTGCGGGAAGACAGGTGAGGGGTAAAAACTTACCTGTTGGGTACAATGAACACTATTCTGGTGACGGGCACACTAAAAGCCCCGTCTTAAGCATTATACAAGGTATCCATGTAACAAAAACATTTGTGCCCCCTTAATATTTTGAAACAAACAAAAAGATGTCAGCAGGCCTGCATTCCTTTCTGGAGGCTCTAGGGGGAGATCTGCTTCCTCGCCTCTTCCAACTTCTACAAGCTGCTCACATTTCTTAACTCTTGATCCCCTTCTTCTATCTTCAAAGCCAACAAGGCCAGGTTAAGTCCTCCTCACATCACATCACATCATATCAATCACATCACTCACATCATTCCTTTCTCTTCTACCTCCCTCTTCTACTAGCAATTACATTGGGCCCACCTACATAATCCAGGATAATCTCCCCATTTTAAGGTCAGCTGATTAATCACCTTAATTCCATTTGCTACCTTAATTCCCCTTTGCCATGTACCATATTCACAGATTCTGGGGACTAAGACATGGACATCTTTTGGAGAACCACTATTCTGCCTATCACAATAAAACTGTTAAGAAATAAATTAAAAAATTTTAAAATGTAGTTATCAAGTACATGGAAATTCAATACTCTAGTTACTCTATTCTATCCATTTTTATAATAGAGAGTTTCAAATGAGATACCGTTTTTCACCTATCAAGTTGGCAAAAGTCAAAAGTCTAAAAATGCATCAAACTGACAAAGGTGTGGAGAAAGAGACTGTCTCAAACGCTGCTGGTAGGAGTGTAAACTGGAACAATTTCCACAGCACATAGTTTAGCCTATCTACCAAAATTACGAATGCACATGCCCTTTGACCCAGCAATTCTACTTCAAGGAATTTATACTAGATATATTTGTGCGCATTAGAAATGATGTATGCAACATTATCTGTCATAACAAAAGACTAGAAACAATCTAAATGTCTATCAATAGAAAACCGATTACATATATTCTATGGATACTCTGTAGCCATTAAAAAAGAATAAGGCAGTGGCATATGTGCTACATATAGAAAATATATTTTACTTAACTATGGAAAAAAACAAGGGACGGAATAGTATGTGTAGCATGCTACATTCATACTTAAACATTTTGTAAAACTACATGGAATGCATGCTTAAATAACCTTGTACTACATCCAGAAAGATTCAAAAGAAACTGCTACCAGTGATTACCTCTGGAGAAGAGAGGTGGCTGAGTGGGAGAAAGAGAAGAGAAAAGCTCATTATCCTTTCATATCTTTTGGGTTTTCTGCTGGTATATGAATGACAGATAGATAGACAGACAGATAGTCAGATAGAACATTAAAAAAATATTTTTTAAAAATCACCATACCACAAATGTTCATGTGGCCCTCTACACAAATTTTCAATCTCCAGGTAATCTCTTACCTGCTAGTTGGTGCAGGGAAAGAAAACGAGAGAAGCTGATTCCAGAACGGGTCATTCTCAGAAACAGATTCTGTTCCTGCTAACTTCTTTAAGTACTCATTTTTAGGCAGATCACCAATTCTGCTGCTGTTTGATCCCATCTTCTAATTTGGTAGATAACTTGTCCTTAAGCCTGCATTTCCACAACACCACCTGTAAAAAATGAAAAATATCTTCAAACTTATTCGAAACAGTCATCATACTTTTTCTACATGTAAAAAACAATCATACTTTTTCTACATGTAAAAAACTATGAACCTACTAAAGGAAATCACACCTCCCTTTATTTTTAAATATATTAGACATCAGATACAAAGTTACATGGGGGGAAATGGGGCTAAAATATGTCTTAGCCAACACAAAACACAAAAATCCAAATAGATTCGGTACTGGTATCATAGATCTTAGGATAGGCATACCTCTGTCCAAGAACGTATCTCAAGGAAAATTCATACTAATAACTTATTAACAAATAGTCTGAAAATAAAGCTCTTTACCACTAAAACAGTGATGATAAAGAAAGAAAGAGACTAGATGGCTTGAATGTGCAAAGAAGGAGAGAAAGTGGTTCAAGTAATTACCACGCACTACCTACACCTATGGAGGTAATGGGGACAGACCTTCATCACCTGCTCCAAGTAAAACAGCTGGAAATTCCAAAGGACTCCCATTTAATGTTTCTCGTGTTCTGCTGTAGGGTACATACAGTATTTGTTGGCATGCATCTTCTCCTAAACCATGAATATCTTTGACAATAGGAACTATCGTATTCATCTTTCCATCCCCAATGTCTAGACTGGCATATAACAAGCATTCCTTAAACAGTATGCGGAAAGAACAAGTGAATAAATAACTAGTATCCCCACGGCTCTTCAGTATTTCTTGTTCTTGGTCATTAAGGGGAAAATTAAATTTAGTTACAAATATGAATCACTGTCTTCCTTACATCACACTTAACGTGATTCTAGATCATGTTTTATCTCAATTTGTTCAGAAAAAGTCTCTCACTGAGTAATAAAATGGTGAGGAGATGAATAATAAATTGTACTATTTTAACATTACCATCACAATGAAAGGAAATCATGTGGGCTCAGTAGCCAAAGAAAGCTCAGGTCAGATGAGAATTTGTATCAGTAAGTGACTAACTTTCTTATGTCCCTCCTCATCCCACAAAGGCATTAAGGTTAAAGCCAAGGTCAGAATTGGAAGTATGCCTCCCATGTTCTCTCTGGAACTGGACTGAGCTGCTTATCTGAGGGCATGAGGCTTCCCCAATGCCCATGGTCAGCCAGGTCTTCAAAATATGAGTGAGAAATATATCTGGCTCCTGATCACCTGCCCCTAAACCCGAGGCCACCCACTACTTTCATCCTCCCTAGTCATGGAGACAAGGACCCCAATAATAGATGACTTTGATTACACCTCCATATCAAGTCAACTAATCCTAAGGTTTAATTTCTCAAAATAGAAATTATTAAGCCCAATTAGAAAATGCTATAAAGAAATATTTTGAAATACATAAATCCATTACTTATCATACTCCATTCCAAAGCTACTTGATATTTTAAGCTATTTAAAATTAAATTTTTTAGTATAGTCTTACAATGGGATACATTAGTGAAAAAAATGAATGAACCAGAGCCACAATTACCAAAATAAATACATCTCAAAAATATAATTTTTAAAAAAAATACCAAATAATATCCATGGTATAGTTTCATGTATAAGATTTTAAACCATGCAAATGATATTATGGATTTATCGTATCTAGTACAAGCATTAAAACAAGGGCGGGCGTGGTGGTTGATGCCTGTAATCCCAGCATTTTGGGAGGCTGAGGCAGGAGGACTGCTTGAAGCTAGGATTTCGAGACCAGCCTGAGCAACATAACAAGACCCCGTCTATACAAAAAAGTACAAAACTTAGCCAGGCATGGTGGCAAGGGCCTGTAGTCCCAGCTACTCAGGAGGCTGAGGCACGAAGATCACTTAAGTCCAGGAGTTTGAGGTTGCACTGAATTATGATCACACTACTGCACTCCAGCCTGGGCAACAGAGCAAGATCCTATTAAAAAAAAAAAAGAAAATCCCAGCCAACCTGAATAAATAAAAATAAGACGAAATAAATAACAAATTCTAATGATATCAGAAAGGGCAGAGAGGAGTTGCAGCAGGATCAATAAATACTTTCTTAAACAGAAAAGGGAAAGAATAGAAGGTAAGTGAGATGAAGCACAAATGGCAAATGTTTGGATTTGTTGAAATGGACAGTATGTGCATGGGCTTTTGTTATATTACTCTTCATTTCTGTTTTATATATTAATTTTTAAAGGGAAAAAAATGGTGATTCTGCTGAGAGAGCATTTTTTTAAAAGGAAAAAAGAAGAGTTTCTCAACCTCTCAACAGCAATACTGGAAGCTAGTTGACAGGGAAGCAATACCTTTAAAATCTTAAGAGGAACTAATTTAACTACGATTCTATAGCCAACCAAACTACCAATTAAGTACGAAGGTATAATAAAGACATTTTCTGACTTGCCAAATTCAAAACACCTCCCAAGCACCCATTTTCTGGAAGCTAGGGGAAGAGGAGGGATTCCACAGGAGGGAATAAGCCAAGAAAAAGGAAGACATGGAATTCAGGAAACAGGATTCAATACAGGGCAGTGGAGAAGAGAAGTCACAGGGCAAGAGCCATGCCACAGGCTGGGACAACAGTCAAAACAGCTCCGGGATCTCCAGAAGGAGAAAAGATAGAACTGATAGGTCACTTGATGTGTTGGACCCTATTCTGTGGAGTGTTACAATACTATAGGAGAATTTGGAAGTAATGAATAATAGTTACATAGAAAACAAAGTAAATGATTTTTTTAAAGACTATGTACTAAACAAAAATTATTCAAGAAAGGTCATATAATCATAGTATATGACTCAATTCAATAGTAATCAATATTTATATAATCATCATGATGTAAATACTAAATAAAGATTTAGCCAAAAATTGTGAGGTAACTATACTGAGAATATTCTAGAAAAAGAAGTGGGAATGGTGGCCCAAGAGTACTAAATCTTCATCTTCCATAATAGGTAGAGAGTTAGTAGAAAATATCTAAAAATTACTACATCAAAAAACAACAGTAAAAGCTTTTTAGTTATAAATAAAGAGGTAAACAGTGAGAAACAACAGCTAATAGATTTGAAAGTGGCCACCGCTAAGGAAAAGGACGCTGGAGTGGAGAAAGTGGCAGCACAGTTTTTATTTTAAGTCCATCATATTATTTGATTTTTACAACCATATCCATATATCGCTTTTATTAAAAACAAAGCATTTTTTAACCTTCTTCACTTTTCTATTTCTTATTCAGACTTAATTTTTTTTAAGAGATGGAGGTCTCACTATGCTGCCCAGGCTGGAGCACAAGTGGCACTTACAAGCGTGACTGTAGCTCACTACAGCCTCAAACTCCTGGCCTCAAGCAATCCTCCATCCTCAGCCTCCTGAGTAGCTGGGATTACAGACACCTGCAACTGTGCCTGGCTCTAGATTTTAACATATACAGAAAACAGAAAACCATCACAACTAAAATAATGGTGACAAAAAGGTGAATTGTTCTTCACTGAGGCACATACCTAGCAAGCTTAAGAAAATCTATGTCTGACACAGTTTAACATCATAATATACACAACTGAGGTTAGCTTCTAAAATCTAAATTTCAAATTTTCATCATTGTACGAGGTTACTAACCAGCAATAGTCAGGGCTTAGTCAGAAAAGAGGAATTAATTCAAACCCATGCTAGTGGCAGACACAGATCAATAAAACAAAATAGAAAATCCAGAAATGGACTTACAAAAGCATAGCCAACTGATTTTTTTGTCATCAGTGCAAAAGCAATTCAATAGAGAGTGAACAGTCTTTTCAACAAGTGGTGCTAGAATTGGATAGGCAAAAAATAGGCCAAAAAAAAAAAAAAGCACCTTGACCTAAATAAACCTTATACCTTATACAAAAATTAACTCAAAATGGACCATAGATTTAAATGTAAAACGTAAAATTATAAAACCCATAGAAGAAAATCTTTGTGGCCTAGGATTAGGAGAATTCATGGACATGATGCAAAGGCATAATATACAAAAGAAAAGAAAGTTGATAATCTGAGCTTCATCAACATTATAAAACTTTTAGTCTGTGAAAGACCCCATTAAGAGGATGAAAAGACAAGCCACAGACTGGAAGAAAAAAAAAGCCACACATATAAGAAAAAAAATAAGTGCATGTAAAAAGCTGAGAAATCCAAATATGGTCTGCAGTTTGTTATATTGTGCCAGTACCAATTTTCTGGTTTTGATAAGGTACTATAGTCATATTAACAATGGGCAAAGCAAGGGGAAAGGTACACAGACTTATCTGTACTATTTTTATAACTTATGAGTCTATAGTTATTTCAAAATAAAAACTTCTTACAAATCAACTAGAAAATTCAATCTCAAAAATCTAATCT